TATAAACTTTATTAAATTTTTTAAAAGACAATTGTTTGTATAATTGTTTGCACCATTTTCCGATAATAAGTGTGATAAATATGAAAGTTTAGATTATAAGATGTCAGATTTCCGTGTATAAAAAGTTATCTAAAATTCGTATTAAAAATTCAAACTTTTTCTTTAAAATTTTAAATGAATTTTTCTATCAAAATTATAAATTTGATTAGTGAAGTGTAAAATAATAAGAGTCATAAGGAAAATTAATAAACACATCCTCCCCACGCATACCATGATATCTCCAAAAATGAAATGTCTATGCAAGTTATTTATAAATAATTAATGTATTATCCTTCATATTTACGTGTGTGTATAATATTTATATATTCTATCAATAGGCAATGCGCTAGAACAATTTTAATTATAATTCACTTTTTTATTTAACCTAGGTTTATATTTTAATATAATAAAAATTTTATAGATATATTTTACAGAAAAATATGCGAGCTCGCGCGAAGCCCGGAATAAAAACTAGTATTAATAATATTTGGTCACTAAATATCAAGCCTACGTATGAGAGCGACATTTACTTCACTTCAACTATGACGATTAATTATGTAAAAGCTTATTCTTTTTTGTTTGAATTTAAATAAAAAATCACTCTAAATCAGAGTAAAACATAGAAAAACTATCAAAATAGAAATTCTATAATTTTATTATCTAAATAGGAGTTTGCACTATGATAATGTGGCATTGTACATGTACATTTTACTATATTTTTAATGTTTTACTCATACTTTAGTTTTTTTTCCTATAGAACTTTTATTTTAACTTGAAATTCGAGTACGTAGATTCGAGTTGATATCTGAAATTAAAGCTTAAAGAATACTCTCTCCGTCCCAAAATGTTCTTTTCGTTTCTGTTTACGAAATTTGACCGACTTTACATTTAATTCAATTTACTTGATTGTATGTGTAAAATTAAAAATTAAAATTGATTTATTTAAAAACTAAATCAAAAGTTCTACAAAATAATAGGTGACACAATTATATTATTTTATCAAATAAGTAACTAAAATAATTTTAGCACATACCTTTTGTAAATGAAACGTTTAGACGGGAAAATGAAGTGGAAATTCCCCTCTTTTTAAATAGAATATAGATTGGATATTTCTTTTGTTCACTTTTCTGTGCGTTTATTTCCATTTTTTGTGGTTTATACTGCATTTAAAAAAATAGGCTGTATTCTTTCATTGCTTTTTTTAATCGAAAAATTTTTCTCAGCAATTTTTCCTCTGCTTTGTGATCTTTCGCATTGACCCAAAAAACAAATTAAAAACTTTAATTTCTGTCCAAAGAGTCTACCAAAGAGCTATGCCTATGACTTGATTTTATTTCTATTTTCTCCAAATATTTGTTTTCAGATTTTAAAATAAATATCATTTCTTTCATATTTTAGAATTCGTATCATATCATATCTTCAAAACTCACTAATCAGATTCTTATACTATATCCAATAAGGCTCTATTTGGTACACGAAATTTAAATTATCGGATTGAAATTGTGAACATCAATTCTAATTCTACTGTTAAGTAGCACAAAAATAAGACCCCGTTTGGTACATAGATTTCAAAGTATGGAATTGGAATTGAGGAATTCAATTTTAATTCTAGTGTTTGGTAGCACAAAAAATATGTGGATTTGGAATTAATAGTGCAAAAAATGAATTGAAATGGACAGAATTCAATTCTATAAAATTGTGTCCCATGGAATTTCAATTCCAATTCCATCAATTTCGAATACCAAACGGACCCTAAGGTCCCGTTTGGTACATGGAATTCAAACTATGGAATTGGAATTGAGGACTTCAATTCCAATTCTAGTATTTGGTAGCACAAAAATTATGTAGATTTAGAATTAATAGTGTAAAAAATGAATTAAAATTGACAGAATTCAATTCTATGAAATTGAATCCCATGGAATTACAATTCCAATTCAATTCCAATTCCACCAATTCCTTATACCAAACGGACCCCAATTCCAATTCCATATTTTGAATTCCATGTACCAAACATGGTCTAAGTGTTTTTGCCTTTTTGGAATTGGTGTTGCAAAAAATGAACTGGAAACGAAGAATTCAATTTCATTCAAATCAGTTCCACAGAATTTTAACTTTCAATTCAATTCCAATTCTGTCAAAGTCAATTTATTAAATTTCAATCTCATTGCATAGGAGTGTGATAACAAATGCATATTCTCAATAACTAGACAAAAAAAAACAAACATTTTTTCACAAAGGTTTGACGCTAAACACGTTCTATTATCGTCAAAATCTAAGAAGTCCACAAGCATTAATAAGCCTACTCAAATTATATTGAACATTTCAACCTGGACCCAAAAAAAATCGTAAAAATAATACGGAGTATATATTTTGGAACGACTTATAAATTGTGGTGAAATTTACTTAAATATTACTAAAACATAATGATTTTCTCAATGTAATATCCTATGTTTTTATTTTTTTAATATAGTATCACTGGTCATTGTTCAAGCAAATATTCATCGCCACTGGACATTGTTCAAACTAAATGTTCACCATCACTGCACATTGTTTCTGCCACGAGACATCATTTAAGTACAAAATTTAAGCATTACATTGAGAAAATAACATATATTTTAGTATATTTAGTACAAATTTCCCTATAAATTATTCTGTCTCTTTTTAATATCAAGTTGAATTTATAATACTCGATATATTTTTAATAAGTAATCTTTATTCAATACGGAGTACTAGTTTATATACTCTTTTGAGTTTTTAGTCCAAATTTGAATTACCGATAATTAATTAACTTTACCGGTAATCGAGTTTTTTTTTGAGGTACGGTAATCGAGTTGATTGGTTAACTGAGTTAATTAATACTCCGTACTCCGTATTATATACAGAGTATTACTACCTTATTTAATGCACTTATTTAAATTTCTTGTACTAAATACCAATGAAATTAAAAGTACTCTATACTACCTTATTTAATATTCATGTCCCAAAAACTCGTTCACATTTTAAAAAAAATTGTGTCACACAATCTCCTCATTTCTATTAAAAAATCACTTTTATCCATTACTTTATTCATACCCTACCTATGACATTATATTTTTTATTAATAATCTATGCATCACATCTTACTTTTACACATCACATCAAGGGTATTTTTGGAAAGTCAACACAAAAATATCTCGCTCTCTCATCTTACCACTTTAGTCAATATGTCCCTCTCTTTCTGGGACGAAGGGAGTACACATTTTATATTTTAATAGCTTTAGAATTATGTAACTTCAAAGTGTCCAAATTGGCGAATATAATAGGACAGAGAGAGTGGAAAATAGTTGTGTTATTGTAGTCCTAAAATATAAATTTAAAATGTAGATCTTTTCACATATTTTCAATTAATTCATAGTTAGATCTTCTTATTTTTACAAGGCCATCATGGCAAAGTCATTAGTAGACCCAAGGTCCATGCTAATTTTATGAACCTTAGTACATTTGCAGCATAAAAAAATGGGCCTTTTGAAAAAAGAAAGTATCTGCATATAACTCCATACAAAATGTGAAAAAGTTTGATCCACATTTTAAATGTAGACCTTGGTACATGTAGGCATCACTTAAGGCTCATTACATAAAAATAATTATGTGTGAAGATTCATAAAATGATGGACAAATTCTTATTGCCAGGTGTAATATACTTATGTACTCGAGACAAATTCTATGATGGACCTACATATGAGTAAAATAAGTGTTTTTTTACTACTTAAATAAATGTTTGTTTTTTTAAATACAAAAAAAATATGTGAAAAGATCTACAAAAATGATATGCACTAAAGGCCAGAAGCACTATTTACTCGATCTCTCCATACCGTATTTAAGTTTTGAATGCCTTAATTTACATTGCCAAATTATACTCCCTCCCCCAATAAAATATTTATTGTTTACTATTCTAGGCTTTTGATAACTTTTACTTGCATATGTCTTTTCATAGTTTATTTGATAAAATAAAAAATGTCTTGTACCACTCGTTTTTTCATTCGTAAAACTTCTGTTCTATTTTTTAAAAATGTAAGGGCTTGTTATCTTCACCTGATCAGTTTATTTTTTATCTGATTGTAGTTATATTACAAGTTATTTCTGATCTTTTCTGGTCTAATCCGATTTGATTCTTATAAGAATAAGTGATAAGTATTAAAGATAATCTCTAATTAACTCGAAGAAAACAAACTCTCAGATTTTTTTCTTCAACATATTCTTGTTGCTAATTTCTTATTCTTATTTGGATCAGATTAGATCAGATGAGATTATAAACAACTTTAATTATAACTACAATCAATCAGATCACAACCATATAATCAAATTTATAAATAAAGTCACTTTAAAATAGATTTGGTTTTAAAATGTTGTTCGTAACCAGGAAAATTTTTTTAGAACTAAAGGAATATCTTTTTTTACTTATTCAACTTCCATCAAAATAAAAAATAAAAAAATTCATTCCCTCTTTAATGAATTAGGTAGCATGGTTTATGACTTTATATTATTAACTTATTCTTCCTTACATAAAATCTCAATTTTACAATTTCATTTTTTTTCTAATTACGTAAGAATATACTCCTAGCTAGGAATGATTAGCCATTTATTATTTGTTTATATATACAGTACTCCTAGCTCCTACACACACACACACACATATATATAATGATACATCCATCCATGTCCAGGAATTAGTACATACATACATACTGTGAGAGGGATCTAATAATATAATTAACACTGTAATATAATAAATCCCCTTTGAAACCAACGTGCAGTGGGATTAATTATCATCACTAACATATCACAAACTACATACTCTTCCATTACCAAACCTATAAATCTCCCCCCAACCCCTTCATTGTGCATGCATGTGAAGGCATATATATATAGATATATCTATACATAGACATATACATATACATACATACATATATATATAATAATAATAAATACAAATAAAATAAATAAAGATGGTGAGAGCACCTTGCTGTGAGAAGATTGGGCTGAAGAGAGGGCCATGGAGTCCTGAAGAAGACCATCTTCTTGTTTCTTACATCCACAGAAATGGCCATGGCAATTGGAGAGCTCTTCCAAAGAAAGCTGGTATGTGTGTGTGTGTGTGTGCATTTACTCTTGTTTCTAAGTGCATGTGTTTTTCAAATCATTTATATGTTAAGTTTGGTTGTTGTTTGATAGAATTTGGGATGAGTATCGACAACTCAAGAGCTTATATACCGATTAGTTAGTTTAACTCAAGAGCTTATATACTGATTATTTTCCTCATACTTTTTCGATGTGGGATACTTTTAACATTATTGTTAATTATTGGATTAATTGATTAAACAAATTAAAAATGAAAGGACTGTTGAGGTGCGGGAAGAGTTGCAGACTAAGGTGGATAAATTACTTAAGTCCGGAAATAAAAAGAGGGAATTTCAGCAAGGAAGAAGAAGACACCATTATCCATCTCCATCAACTCCTTGGTAACAGGTATTAGTGCATACATATATATATATATATATATATATATATATATATATATATATATATATATGTTGAAATATTGGAATAATAATATTGCTTTCCTTGAATTATTAAACACATGATAGAGTATATATAGGAGAGATTCCTAATACAACTAGGAATAGAGAATGGAAACTAACTAACATACAACATCTACTACAAATAGGATTAGGAAGCTGACTAATAATGAAACACTACCATAACTAATACTACCAGAAGTAATATTAGTTTATTGTCTAACATCCCCCTTCAAGCTGAACTCTGGCTGAAGCAAGAGAAAGCTTGGACATTAGCTGGAAACTGGAAACTTTGAGAAGAGAGAAGTTTGACATGCGCCGGTGGCTGCTCACGTCGTTGGAGAAGAGAGAAGTGTGACGCGCGCCGGTGGCTGCTGACGTCCTTGGAGAACAGAGAAGTCTGAAACGCGTCGGTGGCTGCTGAGGTCGTTGGAGAAGAGAGAAGTCTGACGTGCACTGGTAGCTCCTAACGTCGTTGGAGAAGAGAGAAATTGACGTGCGCTAGTAGCTGCTGACGTCGATGAAGAAGAGAGAAGGTTGGCGTGCGCTTGTAGCTGCTGACGTCGAAAAAGAATAGAGAAGGCTACTGGAGGTGCCTGTTTGACTGAAGATCCTTGACATTTTTTTCTTGGATCCGGGCAATGCCCTATTTCTTTTTTGAAGGGGTGAGTTGTAGAGATCTTATTTCCTCTTTCACTACTTCCCCTCTTGGCTTTGCTTTTGTGCTGATTTACTTTGGATTTTTATTGGTTCAACAGAAGAGAAAGAGAAGGGAGGTTGATGATTAGAATGAGTGATTTTAGAGAGAAAAAGTAGGTTAAGAATTGGAGATGGAAAAAAAAATTTGGGTCTGAGATTTTGATATGGTGAATTGGAGAGAAACAACAATCATTTTTTTCTTTTTTTTTTGAGAAAATATGATGATCTTAGAGAGTTTGTGAGGAGTTGGGGTTTTTTTTTGAAGAACCATGGAGATGACAAGAAAGAAGTTCCTCCTTTGATAGTTTTTTATGTGATTTCAACAAGGTTTTTTTTCATTTGAATGGAGAAATTGATTTGAGGATAAAAAAGAAAAAGAAAATAGAGGTGAATAGGGTGGAGCCGCCATCGCCGGAATTATCGGCGACGGCGGGGAGAGCAAATAACTTTTTTTTAGGTCACCAAGAGCGGTGGCTCTGATACCATGTTGAAATATTGAAATAATAATATTGCTCCTTTAATTATGGAATACATGATAGAGTATATATAGGAGAGATTCCTAATACAACTAGGAATAGAGAATGGAAACTAACTAACATACAACATCTACTACAAATAGGATTAGGAAGCTGACTAATAATGAAACACTACCATAACTAATACTACCAGAAGTAATATTAGTTTATTGTCTAACAATATATATATATATATATATATATATATATATATATATATATATATATATATATATATATGGTTTCCTTCTCTTTCTTTTTTAAAAAATAATTGGAGAATCCCAGTTAGTTGATGTATGATGCCAAGGCAGAAACAGACATACATAGACACTTAATAATGTCTATGTGCATACAGACACTAATTGTGTATATGTGTCTGTTTTCATCTTGTTGCTTTGTACTTGGTGTACACCAAGTGGAGTTCCCCTAACACTCCTCTTTTATTACTTCTTCCGTCCTGCAAAAAAGTTTCTCTTTCTTTTTTCACCCATCCCAAAGAAACACTTTCCTTTTCCTTTTAAAAAGTTGCTTTTACCCCTACTAATTCTTAACATATCTATCACATTACACTTTTTCTCTATTAATCTATCCATCCCATCCTAGCTTATCTATCACATCAAAGAGCATTTTTGGAAAGTCAACATCAAAATACACTCTCTTTAAATCCTCAAAAGGTCAAAACGGGAACTTTTTTGCGGGACTAAGGGAGTATATTTTTTGTTCGTCAAAAAAAAATCATTACTCCCTCCGTGGCTCCGTCCCAATTTATATCGCCTATTTCGGTTTACGATGTTTGATTGAAAATTTTTCAAATCATTTTATATAAAAAAATGGTATAGAATTAAAAACTAAAAATTACATATTAAAATACTGCAGTAGTCCATGTTTTTTTATACTTATAATTTTTTTTTCACGAAAAAAGAGCACAGTAGTCCATTTTTTTTACAATCACATATATAGGTCGGTCTCCATTGGCGGCAGGGGAGTCAATCCCACTACTCCATTAATTAATTCCATTTGTCATTGGCCGGGCTGCCTAATTTGATTGATTAATTAAGTTGAATCATAAGAGTATAAGACCACACTTCAACTGTACACTTTTCTGTTTGGTCCTTCTCAAAATATTCAAAATACCTCTTCTATCCTTAAATCATTTATTTTTTACGCAAAATGAAATAAAATTTTAACTTTTTTCAATTCATTTTATATAAAGATTGGTATAAAAATAAAAAAATAAAATTTACATATTTAAAAAGTACATCAAAAATTCTACAAAACAAGAGTTGATAAAAATATTTTATTTCAATAAATAGTCAAGTATGTAAATCATTTAGGTGCATAGGAAGTACTCCGGAGTATAAAAAGTACTCTTTACTCCTCCTTTCGTCTCAAAATTGTCTTTTTTTCTTTTGGATAACGTGCAAAATCATATAGGATCCGTTTGGTATAAGGAATTGGTGGAATTGGAATTGAATTGAAATTGAAATTTCATGAGATTCAATTTCATAGAATTGAATTCTGTCAATTTCAATTCATTTTTTGCATTATCAATTCCAAATCCACATAATTTTTGTGCTACCAAACACCAGAATTGAAATTGAAGTTCCCAATTCCAATTTCATATTTTGAATTCCATGTACCAAACGGGACCATAGAGTATTTTTTTAATTAAATTTATTTATTACTTGATATACAAACAAAAATTACAAGCTACTATACTTTTGAAAAAATTATGTCAAAAATTCTACAAATTCATCTTTATATCTAGAATATAGAGGTATCTTATTTGTGTCATATAGAGAATATTTGCACAAATATCATGCTCCCTATGTATAATGTAAATAAGTACTAAAAAATAACAATTGTACAATTTTAATTTGAAACTTTTGAAGTACACTAAGCATTGATATTTTTTCATTCATGTCATTTCATAGAGAATAATTGCCAGTCGCTCAACTAAAATTTCCTCCTTCACCAAGAACGGGCCCCTTTTTCGTAATTAAAATGGTGATTTGACAAGTAATCTATCCTTTCTCACACGGATCACGGAGTACTTAGCTCCCTTCCATTCATCTGATCTGATCTAATTTTGATAAGTTTTAGTCTGACCTGATCTGATCTGGTCTGATTGGATCTGATTTCGATCTAATTGGATCTGATCTGATTGGATCTAATCTGGTCTGATTTGATTGGATCTGATCTGATCTGATTGGATCTGATCTGGTCTGATCTGATTAATTATGATTTGATTTAAAATTCAAATCAATAATTTCATTTGACTTTATAATAATGTTTGAAAATTGTAATGATAATTCATATTATAATGTGATCAATATTTTTTATTTTATGATTACTTTTAATCAAATAAAATTAGTTAATTCACATATTAGAATAATCATTCATATTATAATGTAATAATACTTTTTATTTTATGATTAGTTTTTTCTGAAATTAGAATATTAATTTAATATTTAATTTATATATACATTAAAAAAATAATTACATTTAGATAATCAATATATAGAAGAGATATTATTTTTATTAAAATATCTCATCCTTATAAAAGATCAAAAATTTAGAAACTTAAATTACAAGTAGCAATAAAAATATATTTTAAAAGTAGAATTAGATTGACATTGTCAATGTATTTTAAAAATAATTTTTCCGACGTCTAAAAATTAAGGATTACTTTCTAAGTTTTCTATTTAACTTGTTTCTAAAAATTTTTTCTTTTTAATTTTAAAGAATAATAATGATAATAATGATGATGATGATGATGATGATGATGATGATGATGATGATGATGATGATGATGATGATGATGATAATAATAATCATAATAATAATAATAATAATAATAATAATAATAATAATTCTTGATAGGATCTGATTTCGTCTGATCTGATTGGATCTTATCTGATTTGATTAGATCTGATCTGATTCAATCTGATCTTGTCTCGTCTGATCTGATTTTAATAAGAATAAGAAAAAATAAGAAAAAATAAGTTGAACGGAACGGGGCCTTAGAGCATTGGAAATGCCACTTACCGTGGGTCGGTACCGAATTGCATGATTTGGAACAAGTTAGGGCCGGGTCCAAAGTTTTATATTTAAAAACAAGTCAGGCTGAGGTGGGTCCTCTAGACAAATAGGTCGGGCCGATTCCTAATATTTAGAAACACGAAGATCCGGACCGACCCATTTCCTATAATTTAATAAATTATAAATGCAAAAAGTATTAAATAAATTAAAATATTCTCAAATTGCATTTGAGTCTTTTCATCAAATTGTATTAATAAATAAGTTCCATATGATATATTCAATGTTCTAGAAATAAAATTATATATATATATATATAATAATTAGTAAGCTTTTATTTGTCAATCATATTTATAAAATATTTTTTCTTATACGTCTTACAATTTAAATTGGCGAAAGTCTTTTATTGGTTGAATATTATAATTTATTTTTATTTCATTTATGAAAATCATGAATTAGTTTAAAAAAGTACATTATTCTAGTGATTACACAAATATACATTGTTTAATTGTATATGATGTATTTTAAATTCTTAATTTAATAGAAAAAATTCACAGATCCGCAAAATCAAACCATTTGAAACAAGTCGGGTTAGAGTCAGTTTAAAATATTTTTTTTCAATAACCTGGCCGGTCTTGGCCCGTTTATTCTAAAAACAAGTTGGGGTCGGGCCCTATGAAAATCTATTCGATCTGGCCTGTGCCCACTCCTAATCCCCGTCAATTGGAGCCCCTAACTTTGATGTCAATTTTTTTCATCTCAAACTGAATTTTACGAACGGAACTCTGTCATAGCCAGTGGCTAAAGAACTAGGTTGTTCTTTTAATGAGATTGTTCCAAAATTTTCTTCCAATTTGTTTTAAGTAAAAGAGTTGAGCGGTCATTAATAATTCCTATTCTGTTTAAAATTTAAAATGTGGAAAAGACGAAATTATGAGTTAAACATTAAGAAAGTAGCAAAATAGCAATCTTTTTTTTTTCTCAAAATAAGAATAACAATGCTAATAATGGTTGATTTAGGGCAACTCCAATTGGGCATGTATAAGCTAAAAAAAAAGAAAATTTACACTTTACTATTCCTAAATAAGGTTCCAACGCACCCTTCAAAAAATAAAAGAATTTCTATAATTGACTTTTCACCTTTCAAGTATAACATGTGGTCTGCATCTGCTATTCTTTTCTACGCCGCTTCTCTCACCCTTCTCTCTGTTCTTCGCTCGTTGAAGAAGGAACGTAAACTCTAGGAACGACTCGAGGTAAGCTTCATTTCATAGTTTTCATGGAATTTTTAGTCTAATTATTGTGCTAGGACGATTGTTTACCTTAAATTCATTTGGTTTCTTGGGCTACTGGAAAAATTAAAATTTGGGGGTTGATTTGCAACCTATTCTGGTCTGCAATTGTAATTCTTTTCTTAAAATTGATATTGATTTGCCGGTTGTTTATTCATTGCAATGAAGCAAATACATTTTTCTCGTAATATGTAATTTTTTAATGCAATTGTTCTTTTAATTTTGTTCCCCCCAATCTGTAACCTTCTGCAATTGCTTTTGTTCCTCCAATATTTTTGTTAAAATATATTATGAGTATAAAAAAATATTTGAGAGAGAAATATTATAATAAAAAAATTTATCATGTTATTTACTCCGTACATGAACATTAGTGCAGTATAAAAATATGAATTAGGTATGTTTACAAAATTCAAAAAATTTAATGTAACAAATATTTTAAAAGTTTAAAAAATAGATGATATAGTTGGAGAAGTGCTGGAAAAATAGAATGCTAAATCACTGTTGGGAAGCTAAAATAGCATTTAGCTTACCAAACTTTAGCATATGCATTGGAGTTGCTCTTATAATACCAAAAATCACTATAGAATACCAAAATGCAATGCCACATTGTCACAATATAAATTTTTATTTTGAAGAAAAAACATGTTATTTCTATTTTAGAGACAAGGACTATGTTTTATTCTTACATGTTCTAAATGGTTTCTTATATAAAAACTTTTCTAGGGTTTACACCAAAAACTTTATTATTTGGTTGAGTTAGTAGATATAACATTAGAGTCTTTTTGATCAATAATCATGAGTGTGTATCACACTGTCGTCTTATTTCAAAAAATAAGATTTCAGGTGTAACACTTAAAATAGTCACGCTTGCACGTGAAAAAAGTGTTAAAATATAGAAATTTTCTCTGAATCTACAATCACAAGTTCAAATTTTTTATTTACTTTCCAAGATACCACAACCACACCAAATATGTTATTACGGGATTAATTTGATAATCAAAGTAAACAAAAAATGTAAAGACACACAGATTGTATTATGACAGCAGTTCTAGAGTACAGAGTTTATGTGCCCTAGTTCTATATAAAAAAGAACACAAGACAGCTAGTCCCAATACAAAAATTAGAGCCTAAAACAATATAATAGCATACTAAAAGCGTCAAACAATACAAATTCAATCCATATTAACAAAATATGATACTATGACAGTGGAAGGTAATGTTAGAAACACTGATTTGACATATATTTTTTGGTTATTTGTGATTCTCAGATGGTCAGCAATTGCTGCAAAATTGCCAGGCCGGACAGACAACGAAATAAAAAACGTTTGGCATACACATTTGAAGAAGAGGCTGCCAAACTACGAGCAGCCACCACCCAAGTCCGCCAAGACCGCCCGCCCACCACCACCAGAACCCACTTGCGACGACGGAGGCCCCACCGTCTCGTCCTCCTCGTCGGAATCTTTTGTCACAGCCGAAACCACCGCGCCGGAAACCGCCGGAGAAGCGGAGTTCTCACACATTGCCGAGAGCTTTTGGACGGAAGTCCTCTGCTTCCCTGACGAGGCTGGCGGCGAAGTGTCGCTCGAGTCCAGGGGTTCGACGGCGGCGGAGGAGGATGGTATGGACTTCTGGTACGACCTTTTGTCTAGAGCTGGGGAGTTGTCGGAATTAATGGACTTTTGAGGGCTCTGTTTTTGTGGCTTAGCAAACCTTTTGGTCTTGTTCGTCAATTGACGTATATGTGTAGTGTTTGTTTTTGTGGTTTGTGTTTCATAAACCATGAGATTGACTCTTTACTAGTGTATAATATATGGATAATAAGTATTGAAGTAGGGAAAGGTTCTTTTGACCTTAGTAAAAATTACTTCCTTTTCCCCAAATAAGCTTCATTTTCCTCCTTCACGGAGTCAAATTCATTCTCGCCCCAGATTTAAGTCAAACTCTCGTTACAACAAGGAAACACGTTACAACATTCTCTAGTCTTTTGTAGGAGGGGAGGGCAATGTCAGCACTTTATTCAAAATTGAAGTTCACAACATAAAGGTCTCATTAATAAGATGCATTCGGGGTTGAGGGGAAGGGGGGCTTAAGAGAGGCAAGAGTATGCCAAAGCCTTCTCCTCGGCGAGCTCTTGCGCAGTTGCGTCCATCTTCTTTCTTGACAACTCGTCGATAGGAAGATCTGTGTCATTGACAAATAGAAGTTATTCTAAGGGCACTGCTATATACACATTGTGCCAAAGAGAAGAAAATTGTGTGTGAGATGCTATTATAAGAGGTCTTATATGCTAGTTCCAAATTCCTATATCTTTCTTAGGCGGTATTTACTTGGGACTCCAATCCAAGTCCCACAACATTGGATGAGTTCTCAAAATTTGGATGGTTTCACAATAATTTTGTAATAAAATGGGACAATAGCATTGAAAATAATAATAATAATAATAATAATAATAATAATAATAATAATGGAAGCTAGTCCCATATTTTTCATGTGGCAATCTGTGGGACTACAAAATGGTCCTAGCATTGGACATGCTCTTAGGGGTAGGACCTGGTTTCGGGCCCAACAAAGCACTGTAGGACCCAAGTATCATATTATGACACTGAAAATGGGGGTCAGAAAGAGCCCTTGATGGTGTGTTATGTGTTTTTTTTTTGGAAAAAGTGTACTTTTAGGTCATTGTATTATAGAGGCAGTAGTATAAAGTAAAATTTGAGGTTGCTGCTTGATAATATGATTAAGACGAATATTGGCCATAAAAATAACATCAGTAATCTACGTTAAATAAATTACTTACCTTGGACAATGTTCCATTCTCCATTCTTGCAAGTGACTGGGAAGGAATAGATTAGTCCAGCTGGGACATTGTAAGAACCATCAGAGTATACACCCATTGACACCCAAGTTCCCTGAATTACAGAATTAGGCAAAAAAAACTTGTTAATACAGAGAGAGAGAGAGAGAGCCAGTCAAGTAACACGATTCAAAATTAAATATACCTAAAAGCACAGTTGGTAGGCTTTATTTTTAGATATTATACACACACACACACACACACACACACACACACGTGTGTGTGTGTGTGTATTATATATAAGAATACCTTGATATGATAATTAAGCAGATTCAAGCAATTCAACTTCAGACATTTTTGCAATTTCAACAGATTTGGCCATTCTAAGGCTCTAAGCCTTACCAAATGGGCTCACAAACTATAAAGCCTGTATTCGTACCTCTGGAGTTCCCAGCACCCAATCACGTATGTGGTCACAAGCTGCGCTAGCAGCAGAGAGAGCACTAGAAAATTTTCTAGCCTTGATAATGGCAGCTCCACGCTGCTGGACAGTGGTGATGAACTCACCATTTAACCTAAATTTATCACACATTAGCAGGAACATATTAACAGCTTAAAATTTTATAATCAAAGATCAGGCAAAGTATACATATAACTACAGATTTTTGTTGTTTACCATTCATCATTTCCAACAAGCTCACGGACAGGTTTTTCACCAGCTGGTGTTTTGATGGTTGCATGATTAACATCAGGATACTGTGTGGACGAGTGGTTTCCCCAAATTATTACATTTTTAACCTCACTTACATGAACACTCAATTTGGCCTAGGGCTCTGTTATGATCCAATCTTGTCAGACAAGTAATGTTTTCCTTGGGGATAGAAGGCGCAAACTCCTTCAAAATCAATGCATTGGTGTTTGCAGGGTTAGCAACAACCAAGACCTGAGAGGGAAAATCATGAACAATAAATCAAAAGTTGTACTTTTCCTAAACACAACCGGAAATAGGCTTCACAGACGCATCAGAAACTGAAAGAATATAGCGAAACAGTAGATGCTCCAACTTTCAAGTGCAGTCCCAGAATGGTGCATGACTTGAACAGACACAAGTTTAGAAAAAAACTTATAATGTAATCTCACCTTATTGCAGCCTATTCATTATAAGTGATGTTTCTTATGTAGACTAATACTCATTGTGTGAAGTAATCTCAAGAGTTGCATATGAATAAGCAATGCTTATCATGTAGTCTCAACAGTCGCATATACTCGCAATGCTAAATAAAATACACAAAAGGAGTACATAAACAGAAATTTATGCAATCATATCATATGCTAATATAACAATAAACTCGCTAGTCACTAATATGAGCTTCCAGTCACCCTTCAGTTCAGAATTTTAAGTGAGATGTTTATTTTAAAATGAGGAAGAACACATCGAGACTACTTTTAGATTACCACCTCTCAGACCATTTATTGTACCCATTCATGGAACATGGTTAGGTACTTAGGTTTGAATTAATTGACCACGATCCAATGATGGGTAAAATAAGTGGTGTCAATATATACTTCCTCTTTTGCAATAAAGTTGTAATCATAGCATATGATAATGTAGCAATGAATTTGTTTCAATAAAAGAAAATGAAATGAATTTTTTAAAGTTTTTTTCCAAATAACTACTCCCTCCGTCCGGAAAAGAAGTTCCCGGTTTGACTTTTCCTCATTTTTAGTGAGTGTTGACTATGAGTGTAATTTGTCTAAAATGCCCTCCCTCACCCTCTCCTTTACCAGCACTGCCACACACAGCTCCAAGAATCACCGTAGCCTCTCCTCACCGCCAGCACCACCGAAAGAAATCGGAAACAGAGAAGCAGAGGAGTGCAGATCTAAACATACCATTAACGCACCCTCACCATCGCCGTCACCCCAACACTGCCGGCCAGCCCCACCTTCGCCCGCAGCCCCACCATTGCCACAACTGTGATGGAGGCAGATCTAAAAGAAAAAAGGAGGAGAGGGAAAAGAAGAAGAAGAAAAAGAGGAAGAAGTGGAGATCTAGACTCACAATCGTCACCTCCGCCACTATCGCCGCCGCTACCATCACCGCCGCCGCTACCATCACCTCCGCCACTATCGCCGCCGCTACCATCACCGCCATGCTCAGATCGAGAAGAAAAATGGAAGAGAAATTAAAGGAGGAGATAAAGAAGAAATTAATGGAAGAGAAATCAAAGGAGGAGATAGAACAAGAATTGGGGAATTGGAGAAGAACGGGAGACGGGGAGAAAAAAAAGGGAAAGGATGGGGTGGAAGAGATTTTGAGAAGAAGAAGAAGAAGACAAAAGGAAGAGGAGGAGAAAGAATTGGGGATCAAAGAGGAGGAGGAGGAGAAAGAAGTGGGGGGGTGGAAGACAGGTGCTGATCCGAGAAAAGAAGAAAGAAATTTCAGGGATTGGAAATTGAAAATTAAGGGAGAAAGAGAAAAGGAAGAAGAAAGAAGGGTATTTTAGGAAGAATGGGTATTAAAACGTATAATGGGAACTTCTTTTCCGGACGGAGAAAAGCGTAGAATGAGAAATTCTTTTCTGGACGGAGGGAGTATATGGTAATTAACAAGTTATTAATCATAGGTTTTGAGAATTATGTCTCACTTTGCAGTTAGCAGCAGCATGCTTCTCAAGAGCAGAAGCCTGGGACTTGTAGATAGAAACATTTTTTGACATCACATCTTTTCTCTCCATTCCTTCTTTCCTTGGGAAGCCACCAACCATGACAGCAACATTGACACCGGTACATGCCTCAACAACATCAGTCGTAGCAACAACACCTGGCATATATTATGGATATCCAAGAAGTTGTATTCAGTATGCTTTGAGAAAAAAAGATGTTAGTCAAATCAGAGTTGATTAGCTCTGAAAATTCAATGAAATTATATTACTATACTACATGAAAAAAGCAATATCAGTGTATTGTAAAAAAAGATGCATAGTAATAGTGATGCACTGGAATTTGTTAACCAACAAACGGAAGATATGAACCTTTAAGAAGAGGGAAAGCAGCGTCCACTAATTCCATTTTCACTCCATTCAATGCCTCTGCAGCAGGTTCTATATCAAGCATATGGAGTACTACTGGCTGGTCTGGACCAAACATTACACCCCTAGCGATCATAGGGACCAGAGCATACCCAATTTGACCTGAAAGACCAGCCAGCCTCAATTATAATGACGCAAAGGAAAATTGTTCTGGAATACATGGATACAGGTGCTTTCTCTTGTACAGTCATCAATTAAATAAAGCATTTCATAGTAAATAAATCCAAGTATCCAGCAGTGCATACTGCATAGTAAATTGCATTTCAGTATGGAGCTCGAGTAATTCAGTAATCAATCCATTACAAGTTCTATGGTTGGCGAGCAATCACTTCTTGTTAGTGAGCATTTAAGTTTTGTTTAGTGTACAATGATTGAACACATATGGAGCACTAATTTGAGTTTATTAAACATACAACTTTCATTTAGTGAGCAATTCACTTATCATTGGTGAACACATAAGTCTCCATCGATGAATTATTGCAGAATGCTTATGTACGTACAGTTCTACCATAGAATAACTCTCATTTCATAGCTTTTGTAGAACTTTAACTAATCTTTCAAAACATGAATCGATCAATGGAATGACAGATAAAGATAAGATTCAAAATGCACAAAATAATGTTACTATTCTACTAATGAAATAAACACAACCATAACTAACTCCTATCACAAGTAGATCAGGAAGAGAACAATAAGGTCAATATGCAATCTCAACACCACAGTTCAAAACATGAACCAAGCATACAAAGCCACACTTCAATGTCTGTTAAACTATCCACATGACAGTTCAAAACAGAAGATGCACAAGTCAGCGTTTGCATCCTAGCAACACACTGAGCAAGAAAGTTCAGATGTGAAATAGCACAGATACAGCCATGTTTGCAGAAAGTATCACCCCCCCCCCCAGCAATGATCATAAAATAAAGCTCAATAAAAGACACAAGATCTAG